ATCCTGCTCTGCTTTGATCTGGGCCTCCAGGTCTTCTGGGTCCACATACTGGTAGTTCTCATCCTCCTCTGGTGGTTTGCACTTTCCACAGCAGAAACAGCAGCAGCAACAGCAGCAGCAACAGGAGAAAACGGCACAGCACATGACCATAGCCTGCGGTAAAGACACAGACCCCAGATCAGAGACGTTTCTCTCGGAAAGGCACATGTTTAATGTCACAGCGACAGGAGAAGTTTGCAAGATGCTACAACTGGCTACTAGTCAGTTACAATATTTGTCATGCTAGGAAGTTTGAGGAGCTGTTTGTAAGATCTAAGCTGAAACACAAGGGAATTGATTGGCAAAAACAAAGCACATCAGCATTTATTTATAGCTTTGTAGATCAAAACAGGCTGATGCATTTTAATCAGGCTCAGCTGTCTTGCTTTCTGCATTAAGCCTATTTTGAGAAAATGACCACATGTGGATCAAAAGCCACTATCATTTGTAAAGTAAATTCAAAATGTAGCATCTCAAAGAGAACAAAGCTTGCTAAATAATGTCTGTTCTATTCAGACTGTCGGAGCAGATTGGGGTGACACTAATTTCCTTCTGCAATCATTCTGCTCTATTCTCAATTCAATTTCCATTGCCTACTCATCGCTTCTAGTGACAGAAACCCACCAAGGACATATAGCACTAAACACTGTTTATTTTTGATAATCTTTCTAATAATACTTCATAAACAGAATTTTTTTTTAAATTCACACCAAGAAAAGCTATGTAATTCCTTATTTCTTTAAAACGGTATCTGTAAGTTAACATCACTTCAGAATGTCAGTTTAGGTCAACACACTTTGTTTACAGTAAAGACAATCTGTAACATAGAGCTTTTATTTACTGATGCATAATAAAGTTGTTTATAGGGACATCACCTTGAACCAACACTTCGACATGAGGAAATAGTATTTGACACTATCTTCTCCAAACTGCTCGGACACGTAGAGCCCCATGGAGCCATATTCATCGTAGATCTTGCGCTTGGTCTCATCAGTGAGGATTGAGTTGGCATTGTTGATTTCCTTGAACTTTTCTGCTGCTTCGGGGTTGTCTGGATTCTTGTCTGGATGGTATTTCAGAGCCAGTTTTCTGTAAAACAGAAAAAAACTCCTGAATCTTACAACTCTGTTGCAATGTTGAATCAAATGATTAATCAAATTGACTACCATGGTTACGCAAAATACAAAATAAATTTAAGAAAAAAAAACAACAATGAAATACAAATTTTTTTATTTGTGTATTTTGCAAAACTATGGTATATGAAATAAAAATTTGAATAATCATATCATTATATACATATTAGGGATGCACCGAAATGAAAATTCTTGGCCGAAGCAGAAACCGA